TAGATTGAGATTATTAGCTAGTATGTAAAAAAATTAACTCTGTTGAAATTTAATTTTGTATTTATATATAAATAAAACTAGCGGACGTTCCCGGCTTCGCCCGAGGTTTTACCCGAGTAAAGGTTTTTCTAACGAACATTTGTTAAAACAATTCTCTATAAACTTATAAAAAAAAGATATATTTTGATAATTTGAAACTCGTATATTTGAATCTCTCGATAAAGTGAACATTTTTTCCCGGTCCCTGTGTGCCGTGTCATCCTGAATTTTGTCTTTCCTAATTTTCTACATTACAAAATCAGAGTTTTATCTAGTGAACATATTTTCCCGGTCCCTTGAAAAATACTCGATAAGTTTAATAAAATCATGTTCGTTTATGGAAGATGGACGTAGTTCCCGGAGGTCACCCGTCCCCCGCGCGCCAGGACCTCTTGATCACTCTGATTGGCCGGCGGCCGGACGGGGGGGGGGGACGGGGGGGGGGGGGCTCTTGATCCCTCTGATTGGTCGGTGTGAACTTGGACTGTCCAACCAACTGGCCGGCGGCCGGACGGGGCAGGGGGGGGGGGGGGGGGGGGGGGGGGGGAGAGGCAGATCTCCGTTGCAAGATGGCGCTGCTTGCGAGTTAAAGCTACAAATCTGCAAATAACTCTAAGGATATTCAAGAAATTATTTTTCGTAAACCTTTCCGGGGATACGCCTAATAAGATCCCAAATTTTCACGGCGATTGGATGTATGGTTTTTGAATCCATAGAGGACACACAGACAGACACACACACAGACATTCAATTTTATATATATACTAGCGGACGTACCCGGCTTCGCCCGAGGTTTTACACGAGTAAAGGTTTGTCTAACGAACATTTGGTAAAACAATTCTCTATAAACTTATAAAAATATATATATATATTTTGATAATTTGAAACTCGTAAATTTGAATCTCTCGATAAAGTGAACATTTTTTCCCGGTCCCTGTGTGCCGTGTCATCCTGAATTTTGTCTTTCATAATTTTCTACATTACAAAATCATCGTTTTATCTAGTGAACATATTTTCCCGGTCCCTTGAAAAATACTCGATAAGTTGAATAAAATCATGGTCGTTTATGGAAGATGGACGTCGTTCCCGGAGGTCACCCGCCCCCCCGCGCGCCAGGACCTCTTGATCACTCTGATTGGCCGGCGGCCGGACGGGGGGGGAGGGGGCTCTTGATCCCTCTGATTGGTCGGTGGGAACTTGGAATGTCCAACCAACTGGCCGGCGGCCGGACGGTGGGGGGGGGGGGGGGGGGGGGGGGGGGGGGGGGGGGGGGGGGGGGGGGGGGGGGGGGGGGGGGGGGGGGGGGGGGGAGGGCAGATCGCCGTGCAAGATGGCTTGCTTGCGAGTTAAAAGCTACAAACTGCAAATACCTCTAA